CTGATACATGCACAAAGGGGATATAATGCCATTGACAGGCGACCGGTGAAACGCAGCGTTACCTGAATAAAATTAGTTCAAACATTGTTGGAAAACATTTGGGATAATGTAACACTACTCAACTACATACAGAACAAAGAGCTGGAGTTTATAGACAGTTAAATGTAGAAATGTTACATGTTCTATCTTTAAGAGACACGCATTGTGTAAAAACATGCGTGTATATCAACCTTATTGTTCCTCTGTCATCTTATGTGTTTACACTGTGCTTAAGCCAAATATTGACTCTGTGTATGTAATTTTCTGATGAGCCGTGGCATCGGTGTGTGTGTGGGTTAATGATGCCTCTGTGTGTGTGTGCTGCTCAGTGGCCTGTGTGTGAGTGTGTCGCTTCATAAAACATGCCAGCGAGGAACCCATTGAGCGACGGTGGAACTTAACGAGTCGTGATCCAACAGTGGTCATGGAAACCCAGCCTGTGCATCCACTCAGTTTCTAAGTGTATCGGGCAGAGGGTGCAAAAGACAATATTGTATTAATATTTATTTATATCTGCTTGTTACAAGGTGGAAGAAAGGAAAGAACACAACATTTGTAAATACAGTTTGAGGTCTTGAACAATGCTTGGCCGCCTGAACTTTGTTTTGTTTAGTTTTTTCTTTTGTTTGTTGTTTTGCCTGCACCATGTTATGTCACATGTTATTTGTCTCTTTCTGTTCTAAGGAAGGTCACACACACGATAAAAATGATTCAGGACACAGAAAATAATCAGAGGTTCGGCTTTTGTAATTAGAAAACATGTGACATCTTTGAATCATTCCATAAAAAGATCATTGATTTCAAGTCCACTCTTTCCTTAAAAAAAACAACAACAAACAAAAATAACATACAGTACCAAAACCAAAATAAAAAATTACAAAAAATCTGTTTACAGAGTAGTTTTTCAAAGCTTGGGGATGGACTGATTGAAAAGCACAACTGGGGGGGACTGCATTTGCATATTCCCACTGAGATCTGATCCCTCAGCATCAGCTGGAGGGCGTTAAGGTCAGTTCTTACATGAGCAAAGTACATGACAAAAACACAGGCAACATACATGTGTTTTCCCAGTGAGGACAAGAGTATTGTGGACAGGACCGTGGAAGGAAACCCATGGCAGCATTCCTTTTTTCATCGCACAGTGAATGCAAAAAACAAACTATAAGTGCTGAAACAATAAAAATAAATTATTTGCATAAATAAGAGCAATGATAAATAAAATATAAGAGTTGTTAGGCGAAGCTGCTTTGGCACATTTGTGGACTTACAGTACTGTGATAATTAGGTCCAAATAACAGTGCTTTTTGATTTGTTAGAGGCTACTGCGTGTCATGCCAATTGTGTGTTGCCCTGGGCAGCTCCAATTTACACGCCACTTCCAAGAATACAGATGAGAGCAGGCACGCTCTTCACCTTTTGGGTGAAAACAAGCGCTATAAAAGTGCCAAATTGAAAAAAACATGTGACAATGTTATAGTAATATCACAAAGGAAACGTCTTCATGACAGAAAAAGTGACATGTTGTAGCTGTATGCACTGTAATGCAAGTTATTTTGACTAATTGAAACAAACTAATTTTAAGTATCACAAACTCAGTTTTAGAAGTTAAAAAGATTCTTGATTAAGCACTTTTCATTAGGGATTTTGTTTCCACAGTACATATAAAAATTACAAAATTAAGCCAGTGTCACTAAAAATTACTAAAGCATAAATGTTTTTTTTAACTAAACAACATTAAGTTAGTTTTACTTAAAATGTTCGTAGTAATCATTTTTTAAATTTAAATTAACTTGTCTAGTATTACAGTGTAAAGCCCTATTCGCACGGGACTAGTATTACCTGGGGACCTCTAGTAATTTGTAATAATTGCGGAGGTCGTCTGTGATCTTAATCCCGTGCGAATCTGCCA